AGCCTGTGCTCCGCAACTGGAGAGGCCGCAACAGTGAGAGGCCCGGGTACCGCAAAAAAAAAAAAAAAAAAGACAGGATATTGTCACCAATGTGTTGCAAATGAGAGTTCTCAAAAATGAATGACATGAAGTCTGGGACCAAACCTCACAAAAAGCCAGAACTTTGTCTCCTTCTAAGTATCTGATTTGAACACCTCAATTTGTCTAGCAAATGATGCTTTTGTCTTCTTGATTAAAAAAAATTTAAAAAAAAACTTTAGAAATTAGCTTTTTGGTTCTTCATTGTCAATCATCTTAAAATAAAAATCTTGCCAACTCTGTGGTGACAAGTGTTGGTTTTTAACCAAATAAAATTTTCCAGGCATTTGCAGAAATGTCATTTGAGTCCTCTTTAAGTCTCGTTTAAATAAACAAAGCTGCTAAAATCGGTGTAATCGAAGAGTAGATAGAATATCTCATTCCTTCAAATTAAAACCATTTCAAGCTTCCTACCTCTAGTGAGCAAGAAGTACAATCTTTTTCTAGGTGCCTCAGCTGCTACTTTACAATTGTCCTCAAGTAACTCAGGGATTTTTCAGTCCAAGGAGGTTGTTCTGCTTTCAAATGCCTGACTGAAAGTAAAATGAAGAATCCTCTAGTACACAGGGAGGTCTAGTGCTCCGATCTGGTTTTGGCAGTGTTGCAAACTGGTCCCACACAATCCAAAAGATTTTTGTCCAGTGCTGTGAGTGATTCAGATGGCTGCAGAGACCTTGGTACCTAGTGCATTGATCTTGGCTTCCCAAAAGGACAATTGTTAAAGCTATAGTCACATCTGCAGCTGGTGTTCCCAACCCCGAAGACTGTCTGCTGTGCCAAGGTGGTTTGGGGTTACAGAAGGGTCAGGTTCCAGCCTTAGCCACACACTATACCAGGACAAAATCTGCTCCCTGGCGTGGTGACCAGATCACTGTTCCAGACTTCCCTAATGGGGAGTTCCCTCTTGGGGGCCTTTGATATCCTTTCCTACCAGCGGACTTACATCCATGACAGAGGTTCCAATTATGCTAAACCTCAAAATGGAAGCCAGGCCAGATCCAATGCCCCTGACACCTCCCCAGACACCTGACTATTCGTGGAGGGGTTCTGGGAAGGATGGCCTTTGTCAAGCCACAGAGTGCTCTGGTCATCACCTACATGAGTGATAGGTGCCTTGTATTTGCATAATAAAGAGCACCCTTCATGGTGATTTCTTCCCCTGCAATCTTGGGTATCTTGCTAACTTTATTTAGTCTCTGGAGCTGACTTCTTTTAAATGGCAACTCCTTTCACTAAAAACAAAAACAAAAAAAACACATACAGATTCCACCTACCAAGACCTTCTTAAATAATAGTTAATTATTCAGTGGACTTTGATTAAAAATGACAAAAATTTATAAACACAAAATGCAGGTCCCTTATGGGTGGAATCTTCAGGATACCTAATAAGATTTCATGTTTTGACATAACATAGGTTGGAATTACAGACAGAGTTTTTAGTTCTGGAAAAAAATGTATCATAGAATCATCTCTATTAAAGGTTGGAATGAAAGTTTATTTTTTAAAAAAATGGCTTATCCCTCTACCTCTGGATCTTTTGTCTAACCAATCATGGCTGTGTAAAATGTATGGAAGGAAAATCAAAATGGAGTTGGTATTGCTAAGAGAGCTCTCTAAAATGGAGCCAGCCAGGAGGCCATCGAGGAAGTGTGACTTATGCCTGTCTCAGACAAAATGAAACTTTTGACCACTTATTACCTTAACACATGCATCCAGAACATCTACCCAATGTTCCAGAAACTCAAGATATTTATTGGACCCTTACCCTAAAATAACTCATGAGAGCCTTAAGGACAAATATTTCCTTTCTTGAATCAGGGTCAGTCATAATTCTTGAACAATCTTGTGGCTTTTGCCTGCATAAGCTCCTTTCTCTCCCCTGCAATACTCTTTCAGTTTTACCCGAATCTGTGTCTCCTGTCTCTCTCTCTCTTTTTTTTTTTAATGTTAAAATAATTTTTTTTTTTTTTTTTTTTTTTTTAATGTTAAAATAATTTTTTTTTTTTTTTTGGGCCATGTTGCACAGCATGTGGGATCTTATTTCCTGACCAGGGATTGAACCCAGGCTCCCTTCAGTGTGGAGTCTTAACCACTGGACTACAAGGGAAGTCCCAAATCTGTGTCTCCTGAATTGCAATTCTTAAGACTTCAAATAAAGCCTTTTGTTCTTTGCAGCCTTGATACTGATTATTGTTGGACAAATGGTTGGTATGAACTCAAGCAATTAGTTAGCCTGCTTTATGCCTCTCATTCTTAAACAATAAATAAATAGCTTGAATAACTTCATCCCCATCCAAATTAGACAAATTTTCCTACATAAAAATCTCAATCTTCCATGATACATCTATAAGATAAATAAAATATATTCCATTTGTACACATTAATCTGCTTTTAAGGTGCAAGATCAAACATACAGAGAGTAACCATAGTAATTATAGAGTTTACTATGTGTTAGGCATTATTCTGAGGACCTTATTAATACTAACTCATTTAATCTTCACAACAATATCATGAGGTAGGTACTATCGTTATCCCCACTTTCCACATGAATTTAGGCATAGAGAGATTAAGTAACTTGACCAATGTCAACCAGTTGGTGACAGAGCTGAAATTGCAGACCCCGGCATAATCTGGCCCTAGAGTATATGATATTGACTTCCATAGATATTAATGATTAATTAATTTAATGTTTTATGAGCACCAACTCAATTAAAAGTATTGGTTAAAAACTGTAGGGAATTCAAAGAATAATATGTGGTCCCTGCTCTCAAGAAACTTATATTTTGGTTGTTGCTTTAAGTAGAAAACAGCAACTGTGAGTGGTTACTCTTGTCAACCTGAACCCATTGCCCTGCCCGTGGTGTTAATGTCCCAGAGTTTTATGCCAGAATTACAGGCTTAGGAGTTAAGCAAGATCTTAAACCTCAGTTGAATCTCTTCATTTTACAGATTTGAAAACTGAACTGCAGAGAAGTGTCTTGTTCGAGACCACAAAGTTAAGGATAAAGAGCAACTAGAAAGGCAGTTTCTGGTCTCCCAATCAGTAAAATATGTTCATGAAAATGTACATAAGTCAAATTTATGCAAGCTTAATTATATTTTAAGCCCCTAAGTGGAGATTTCCATTTAAAGGAGTCAGTAGTAAAGTATTTCATGTAGGCAATTAACATTTTATAAAATGAATAACCATGCCAAACCAGCACGTTGATGAATCTTGGTATTAACATACTGGATTTGGTGAAATAAGAAAAAAAGAACTTTGGTTGTCTTATCAGCTGGCAAACTGAACAAAAATTCCCTAATACTATGAGTAAGACGGTGAATAACACTAACAGGAAAATGCTCGAAGTTTTAGGCTTTATGCAGAGTTATCAGAGTATTTCAAACCAACAGTAGATACATCACTGTCAAAAGTTTAAAGTCTGGTAAAATAATTATAGCAGCTAATACTTGCTGAGCATGTACTCTGTTCTAAGTACATTGTCAATATGATCTCATTTAATTCCTATGACAATTTGATGGAGTTTACACTATTATCTCCATTTCTTATGTAAGGAAATGGTACTACAGGATGGCTAAGTAATTTGCCTATAACTAAAGGCCTGGGAAATGTGGGAAGCAGAATTATTTAGAGTGATATTTCTCTTTCTTGATGCCCTCACTTTCTTTGCAGAGAAGTGCAAACTGGAACTAGATACTAAAAATTGCTTTTGAAAACTCAACAGTGGTATAAAATCGAACATACTATTCATTTGGGCCCTAGTCTGTGCTTCAATACTTATTTGAATAAGCACACAGGAAATATGCTACATATTATGGGGAGTATCAAAATGAATAGTTATCATATTCTATTGTTTATATTATTATATTATACTGTTCATACTATTATATTGTACTGTTAATATTGTTATATTGTTTACATATTATATTATGTTTATAATTTGCATGTTCAAGGATTTATAGCAAAATAGGGAGGATACGATAGGAACACAAATAGCTGTAATGCAAGCCAGGTTGGCTAAGTACTATGAGCATAAAAAATTGTGATGAGAATTTAGAGGAAATTTTAGTTCCCGGTAGCTAAGGGGGATGAGTCAAAGCTTCATGGCAAGGGTGGTATTTGAGCCAGGTCTGTGAGAGTGATCAAAATATAGACAGAGATGACGTGGTCCCCTCAGGTTTCAGGGACAGTGTGAACAAAGGCAGAGTCATGAGTTATCAAGTTATCTGTTGATTGGAGCAAAGACTACCTGCAAAGAAGTGGGAGGGGAGATAAAACTGGAACGCTAGAGTGAAGTCAGTGAGCAGAGTGTACAAAATGCCTCACTAAGGAATACAGACTTTATTCAAGAGGCAAAAAGTTTTGTAGCAGGGAAAGCACATGATCAAAGTTAGATTTTAGGAAGATTAATCTGCCAGTGCTTGGAGAGTGGACAGAGGCCAAAAGCCAGGTAAGAAAGGTTTAGGGAAGCAGCAGTCTAGGGCAGAACAAAAGTGGTAGTACTGGGAATAGAGAGGAGACTGATAAAAAGATATTACAGGAAATTGCCTGTAAAAAGAAGAGGGAAGAAAGGAGAAGAGGGGTAAGAGATGACCCTGTGCTTCAGGGTAAATGGTAACGTCTTTAGTGGGAGACGTGGATGACAGGAGGAAGTATAATTATGAGAGCAGAAATGCTATATTTAGTTTAAGACATTGATTCCAAATATGAATTTACGTATTCATTCACTGTGTGAGCATTTACGAAATGCCTATTATGGAAGGGCAGCCCTTCCGTAAATACTTGGGATATATCATAATCACTATAGGAGGACTTTTTTTTTTTTATTGTTCTTTCCTGTTCAAGAGACCATAATAAAGTATTATATTCAAATCCAACTCTATAGAACATTTCCAAGCCAATACAGTTGAAAAGTAGTCTCCTTCCTCCGAATTCCTGTACATCTAACTGTCTGTACTATTCATTGGTGTTTAGCACATATGATTATATGTATGTATATATTTCTCCCCTAATGTCAAGTTTTCAATCAGATCATAAGTGAGTTGAGAGCAGGCATCATTTCAGATATTCTTTGAATTTCCCACAGTACCTCATTCAGAGTAGGAAAATTCAGTAAAGCTTTAACTGTTAGACCGGGGGATTTTTCTTTCTTTTCTCTTCTATGATAAGGATACATCTTTTCTTAGCCTTGTAGAACAGAAGGATCAGTAAAATTTCACATCCAGAACACATGGCCACTGTGAAAGGAGCTACAGAAGCCAAGTCTGCATTGGACCGTGAAAAAGAAAGCTGAATAATAGCAAGGGCTAAGAAACTATTCAGTACCCCACCTTCGATAGCAACAGTTTTACAAACAGGAAGAGGCAGCATAGACATTTTAGCAAAAAAGTACCCAAACGACAAACCCAAAGCAGGAACTAAGACACCCGATAAAAGCACCTCTAGGTTCACTGTTTTTAGAAACATTAATCCCATTCTGAAAGTCAAATAAATCCCTACAAACATTAAAATAAAACTCAGAGGCCTAATGATCCTCTCCAGGAAGTTTGCTTTTTCAGGTAGTCTACGCTTGATGATTATTCCCACTGATATAGGTATAAGTACGAAAAGGAGTGTTGACATAACTTTAGAAACAGGAATATGCAAAGTACGTGATAACCCTAACATCCTACTGTATATGTACGAATTGGCAGGCATCATTATCAGGGCCAATAACGTTGATGTGCAAGTCATCAAAATGGCCAAAGTGACATCTCCTTCTAGAAGCAGAGCGAACAGATAGCCCCCACCCCCTCCTGGGCAGCTACAGGTCATTACAAATCCAAAAGCCTGTGCTTCAGGCAATGCCAAAATCTGCGTCAAAAGGAATCCGCAAAATGGCATAAGAAAAAACTGTATAACTGCCCCAAGAATTATTGGCAAAGGTCTCTTCCATATTGTATGAAACACCTGTAATTCAATCTTACAACCAAACGCACATTTATTTAACAGTATCATTGGCAGAAAAAGCATAAGGATATTTCTATCAATAAGGTTTGATGTCTGGAAAAGACTGTCTTGTCTTTGTTTGAGCACTCTGACTTTGACATTCTTTATTTCTTCAATGAGTCTTTCTTGCCTACCTTCAGAATCCCACAATTGAATGGTCAGATTTGTCTCCCCGTCTTCATCCGTCACCAGGTTTATGGTAAAGTTGGTAACATCTGATAAGGTCTTAGTCACATTCACCACTTGGAGCATTTTATGATCTTCTAGTTGCACAAAGAGGTAGCTGGAGTTTGGCTGTTGACCTCTGTAACTTGACCTTACAACGACAGTTTCTTCAGTCTTTGTGAAAAATAGTATTTCAGACTTTTCTATGTTCAGAAAACTGAGAAACGATTTCCTTGCCTCCCCAAGAGTCACAGACGACAAAAGCAGGACAATAAAAAGTTTTCTAATCATTTTGAAGGCTTAAATAAATTACATATGCAAAACCATTTAAATAAACTAAAGAACGTTCTTCATACAGGTGTTCCAGTGATGGTCTGAGGTTGTTAGGTAACAGTTGTTTTTTGCTAGATCAAAGTCCAGTAGGAGGGACTCTTGTACTTTTCAAACAAATACAGAGCTATCTAATGAGTGACATAACGGTTTAACCTACAGTTACGAAATATCAAAGTCATAGCATTTAACAGGTTGTTTATCACAGCAGAAACCTAATCTTTACTCCTGACTTCATTTCTGCCACTGGAAAAACAGCCTCCTACTTATTTGATTTTAAAACCTTAGTGTCATCTTTTTTTGAGTTCTGTTCCTTCCTAAGGAAAATCTACACTAAAAGCAGACAGGATCCAAAAATTTTAAATAGATGTTGAGGAGGCCTAGAGGTGGGTGTTACTATTTTATTCGTTCAGGTCAGAATCAAATAAAAATTTACTGAATCTGTGTTCTAGGGCCTTGAGCTAGGAACTGAGTATACCACAGTCATCAAGCTAGGTGACTCTTCCCTCCTGGAGCTTAGCCTTCGTGGCTCTTCATCATTACTCAGGAAACTGCAGAGCCCATACATTGGCCTTGCAGCATCCTTAGGCTAGTTAGGGTTTTCCCATGACTCTAAACAGTGATGGTATCAGTTAGGCAAAAACTGAAACGGTTTGTGGTGTCCTTAGGTAGAAAAAAAAATTCCTGGATGCTTACCAGATAGCTTGGCAACCTAGGGAGAGCACATAGCCAGATCCATGGCCAAAGGTACAGCCTGGTTAAGGGACCACTGCTGCTGGACACTTGGACCCTGACACAATGGGGCAGTCGAAGCCCACTGACTAATTCTAATCTTTTATTCCTTCCTAGTAACACGACTCCTTACTCACAGCTATGGCAAGGATATTCAACTGACCCAACTTAGGTCATATGCCTGTCTTGGAATAAGGAAGGAATAAGGAAAAGAGTCAGGCTTTTTGAACTTCAACCCACAGATTCACAAATGCTTTCTGTTTCCCAAACAAGAGGAGGGGCTTCTGATGCTAAGCAGAAAAAGAAAAAAAAAAAAAAAAAGAACAACAAAAAAACCCCAGTACAGTTATCTACTACTGAGCCTACAGATCTAGTAGTCTCTGATCATATAATCATTTCAGCAGATCCTTCCTGTAATCATGACACAATCTGTGTCAGATGCAACAATGACAGTTACACATTAAGTATTTTAGATCATAAAATGTTTGCTCCTCAAAAATTGTCAAAGCAATTTTTATTGGATATTTTTACAAGTTTTTGAAATTTTCACTTATGTAGGTTAATCTTTCAAATACAATAGACTTTATAGTCCATCAATTTTATTTCCATGTACCACACTGAGAAAAACAAAATACACTATACCAATGTTGAAAATAGGGACTGGAACTAATGCTTCTGTGATATTTCAGTTAAGTTCCCAGAGAACTTCCCTGGTTTAAAAAGACAAAAAACAAACATAAGACAAGAACTTTATGAAACCAAAGCTATCTTTACAGTTATGTGACCAAATATCTTAATTCACAATTTTTGTCACCCAGGTCAAAGAGGTGAGGAATGTAAATTTTACTTTCCTCAGATCCTTCCATCTGTAGCATTTACCCTTCTTCAGGTTCTCCAAGGCTTCTTATCTGAAAACTGCCTGGAATAAAATCTGACAAATCTGGGAAAAATCTAGTAATTTATTATTCATGTGTATTTACTGGCTGATTATATGAAGCTTAAGCTCATTTGTATCATACTGTAGTTAGATATTTATCTGAATTTAAAACATTTTTCTACTTGTGGGTTTTCTGCTTGTAATTCTAGTCGCCTGTGAGCAGGTAGAAAGATTCTAAGGAGGGGTGGGGACAGCCAACCCTAGAATTATATTAAGCGGACTCAACTGAAAGCCCTAAAAGAAAGCCTGAGAAAGATGTCTGATTTCAGAGTAATTTGGAAACGAGACACTGGGGGGACTTCCTCTCGTGCCCACAATCTTATTCTCTTTAGGAGACTTCTCAGGCCGGATCTCCCGTCCATAGAGCCTCCAAGAATGCTGGCACCTGTGTCTCTTACAGACTAGTTTGCTCCACTATCTGGGACCAGATGACATAAGTCCTTCCCTCCATGCTGCTTTGTCTCTTTTCTAACCATTGACAGGACCTCTTCTTTAGTCTCAAGTGTAGCTCAATCTCTGCTCACCTTACTTCCCTTCTTTTCAACCCGCATTGGTATTTTTTCTGGTATATTTGGCTTCAGTTCCATTCATGAGACATGTGTTGGTCATCTACCCTGTGCAAGTAATTATGCAGATGCTAAGGTATTTGTATTAAAACTGTCTGGTATCTGGGAATATATTTAAATATTATTTCTACTTCTGGTCTTATGGTTTCTGATAAAAGAGCTATTAGAACATAGCTATACTTACTATATATTCTTTGGCACTTGCCACGCTGCTTTGTATTATAGTTTTAAGTACGTATACATCTCTTCATTGTATCCACCACGGCAGTTAGAATCAAATCCTTACATTTAGTAGGTACTTGAATAACTAGGTTAATAAATGAATGTATAAGCAGCTGATAGAAGTCAGAAGTTATCTCCATTCACTGCATGAAAATAATATGAAGAAAGAATTAGAGATGAAATAAACACTGTGAGTTTATTCCTTTAATTAAACCTAAAGCCACTATCCCTGTCTATTGCAAAGTAGAAAAGGGACAAATAACAAACAGAAATAACTTCTATTTCTTCTCTATAGTAGTACTTTGCTGAGTATAGATAGAATACATCAGTCAGGAGCATTAATTTTAATGTGTTGGTAAAATGTAGTTACTTTTGGCATGTGTTTTGCTTTGGTATATATATAAAGGACTTGTAATGTAGTTTAGCTATCCCATCTTTCTTCTTATCTGTACTGTATGATACAGATAAAATGGTGAATCCTACTGGAGGGAGTTTTTTAATCAGAGATATGCCCCAAAGCACTTAGGTGACAACAAGAAAATAATTTTCCCTTCCTAGGCCTGAGACTCCTCATCCACAAACTTTGAAGAGTGAGTGAGATGACCTCTAAGTTTCTATGACTCATGTATACACATCAATTTATACATCATGATGTAGGTGGATACTAAGGCTCCATGATGGTAGGCTTGGTCATGTGTCTTGCGTAAAGCAAAAGTGATACATGTTATCTTCTAAGAGCCATCTCTTTCTTCTGCCATAAGAATGGCAATGTCCCCAAAAGGGGTCATTCCTTCATATTAGATTCTGGAGTAAAGACAACATGGAGCAGAGTCACAGCCAATCAAAGCCGACATTAACCAAATGAGAAATATATCTTGTTGTTGTTATTATAGCATAACCTAATAAAAGTTAATTAGATAAGAGAATTTGCTAAATGTCAGTTCATAGTTAAACCTGAAAACACAAAAATTCAAATCCAATTTAATAAAGACTGATAATGTAAATTATGACATAATATGAAATAAAAAGCAAGTTTTAAAAATAAAAAATACATAGTATTTGTAGTAAAAGAATTTGATTAACAATGAATTTTCCTCGATTTCTAGCTTGACTCCCTGAATGACTATTCCAAGTAAGAATCAACATTATTTAAAAACTGTTCTTCATCATTCAGATATTCCAAGATAATACTTCCACCACTGTATAAAGGACAATCCTCCTTAGCAATCCAGGTTTCCAAAATATGATCCAAGGGTAAGGCTTCTCCTGAGGTACTGTGACATAATCTCAATTTCTGTTAAGAGAGAGATACATCATAATGTAATAAACGTGCTTTATAGAGTATTCTAAAACTTTTAGGGAAGAAGTTATAACCTGTTGTTACCTTAGGTGTTAATTTGTTATTGTCATTTTTAAGACTGGCTAAAGAAGCTGCAAAGTCTATGACCCTTCCAATGCTCCACTGCTGGCAAAAGAACATTGGCTTACTCTTCTCTTTGCTCCCCTTAGGTAAGAAAACCTGAAAGTAAATTCTTTCCGTCTGTAAAAATAAAAAGTTAAAATACAGATTATATACATGAAATGGACATCTGTTTTTGTCTGGTGACATTTCTTCCTCTCTTCTCCTGGTCAGAGAAGGATTACCCTCTAATGATACAACTTCTAGTGGGAATACAATCATAGAACCCCAGCATCCACCTAAATGCATGGGCAGAGGATCTAAGACCCTAGTCAGGATGATCTATGAAAAAATAGTCATGTGACCTACATTAGGCCAATCAAGGTCCTTTCCTGGGATTTTACATTCAAAACCTGGGGGCAGGGAGGAGCAATATTTTTCCAGAGTTTTTTTTAAGTCTTGCTGAATTAAACCTGAGGTTGCCTGCAGCTATCCTCCATGCCTCTCAGCCATTCCTGAACCAATGTGGAAAAGTTTCCTCAAATGAAAAACAGTGAGTCTAACTCCCAGAAAGAGAAGTCAAGGAAAGAGATGGCCTCTTTCAACAGCATTTGAGTCCTGGAATTCAGTCATACCTTGAGACCAGATCAGTGCAGCATTCCCCATTATGTGAGAAAAAGAAAAATTGTTTTGAGTAAGCTAGTTGGTTTCTGTCAAGTTTCTGTCACTTACAATTAAAAGATTCCTGAGACATATAACATTTCTTTTCACCTGAAAGACCTCACTACATATTTAGAGACAGCAGGGCTTTCGAAAACAAAGAAACGAAAAAAAAAAAAAAAAAAAGTTAGACAAGCACCATATCAACAAAAGAGAAAGATTCAGAAATCTGGAGATGGTTCCTCCAGTATTCTATACCCTGTATGCTTCCTTTATATTGTACTTTCTTGCACAATTAACAAATGTAGAAAACAAGAAGAGGAGCAAAGGTATTGGCTTCTGATTTTCCCTTCTTCCTAAAATCGCTTTAAAGAAGTGCTGGCTTTACAGACCAATTCCTGCTACAGTAAATATTTCAGCATAACTGGAGGATCCCTAAGTTGTAGGGAAAGATCACAATTATTCTAAGAAATAATAGATTCAACACAATTTCTATCTCAGCACTAAGGAATTTAGATTTGTTAGAGACCAGTGGAATGCATTATTACAGAGAACAAGTATTAAAAGAAAAATAAGAAATCATTGGAAATTCAAGCTTTGGGCCAACTCTATAACCTCGTAGTCCTTGCTCCAAAAACACAGCAACAAGAGCATTAATCTGAAAGAGAAATTTAAAAAGATATACCCTCACCTAAAAGTGAAAAAATAAATAAGTCTGAGGATCCAAAAATGAAACAGAAAGGCAAAGTGACAGTAGGCAGGCTGAGCCACAGGCTTTCAGGGCTCCAGAAGAGGAAGAGCTTTTGGGTTAACAGGAAATAACAGTGTCACATGGTGATGGGGCACCTACGTCCGGCTCACTGATTGAAAACAGGAGCTTGTGTGGGACGTGCACTCCAGGAAAGGAGGCTTAAGAAGTTACTGTTGAATGTTGATGTAGGCTGTTGCTTACAAAAACCGATATACAGGGAGGCAGAAAAGCACAGATATAACCTCTTGACAGTGAACAAAGCCAAAGCCTTCCAGCTCAGTAAATGGATCTGTAATAATCTGAAAATCTTCAAAGAACAGAAGCACAAAGTGTCAATCTCAAACTTGGGTTTGGAATAGAGGTCATGGGTAGGTGGGCCTGTGGAAGAAAATGTGAGACTGCTAGCAGGGAGAGGTGAGTGAAAACAGTAAGAGAGACACAGAAAGAAACTCCTACTCAACACGAACATGCAGAAGCTGTATGCCGAAATTTCAAAACAAATCAAAGGTTAACTTATTCTGAGCAGGTGAAACTAAATAAACTTGAAAAAGACATTTATAAAAGTTATTTAGAATGTACAAGGAGATAAAGAATAATATTCATAAAAATGGAACAGAAAATTGTAAAACTGAAACAGGCAGAAATGAAACAGGAAAAGCTATGAAGATCCAATTAGAAATATAAAAACCTAAGAATACAGTTTCTGAAATAAGAAATTAAAGCACACTAAATTGCTATAATCTTCAATAAAAAGGTTTAATTGATTGGAAGATGAATTGAAGCAGTCATCTAGAAGGCAGCACAAATAGACATAAAGATAGAAATTACAAATCTCTAAAATATGTCTAGTAAGAGTTTCAGAAGAGAAGAAAAGTAAGTAATATTCAGAAAGAAAATAATAATTTTCCAAGAGTAAGAGATAAGTCAGATTTTAAAATCTATCTCAAGGGTCAAGCTGTGTAATTAAAACAAATCCACACCTAGCAACATTGCACTGAAACTGGAAAATATCATAGATAAAACCTTAAAAGCTACACACACAAAAAAAAGAAAGAAAAATTACCCAAAAAGCAACAAGAATAAGATCTACAGCACAAGTTTCCTGAACAATAGACAAAAGAAGCCAATGAATAGTATATTCAGGGTTGAGAGAATCTAACAGATAATCCAGCTCAAGTGAGGGAAAATTAGGGCAGTTTCTGACAAACAAAAGACTGAAAGAGTTTACCAACAAAGACTCTTAATGAATGAACTGCTAAAGAATGGACTTTAGCCAAAATAAAAGTGAGTCTTAAGGAAAAAAGAAACAAAAAATATATTGGTAAATTTAAATAGCAAGTGACTTAAAAATAATCATGTGTGAACGAAGATGATGGGATGGAAGATATTCAACCGCATAAAGCCATATCAAACTCTTTGTCTTATTCAAGAGGATACAATACCAACTAACTTTAGATTTTGAGAGAAGAATTGGTATTTAATTATACATGTTAAAAATTTTAAAGGTAAGCACATGCCTATTATCACTATTATTACAAAACATTATATTGAAGATTATAGATAATATAATACAAGAAAATGAAATAACTAATACAATTATTGAAAAATAAAAACTAAGCTACTTGTCAATGGGATGTGATTGTATACCTAGGAAGTCAAAGGCAAAAAAAAAAAAAAAAAACAACTTCTAAAATAAATAGAAGAATTTAGCGATGTGATTGAATAAGATGAATATACAGAATTCAAGATCTTTTTCTTCTATATTAACAATAAGTACTAGGAATAGAGGTAAAGGGAAATATTCTATTCACAAAGAAAAGAAAACCCATAAGATAATTAGAGATGAAAATAAGCAAGGAGTAATAAGACTTAAATGAAGAAAAATATAAAATGTTACAGAAGGCAATAAAATGCAATCTAAAAGAGAAGACATAAAGTTCTTAGATAGGAAGATGATGTCATAAAAATGTCATTTCTCTCAAAATTAATATATATCATATAATGCAAATTCAGAGAATCCTTCAGGAATGATCCTCAGTCAGGACTTGTTAATAGATGCTGCAGGGAAGTTGAATTTTACTTCACCCAACTTCACAGAAATCACTTGATAATGTATCAAGGAGGTTTTGCCTCAGTTACTTGCACCTTGTGGGTAGGGAAGGAGCCAGAATCCCCAGAATCAAAAGGAAGAGGCCAACTGGGTAATAAAATCCTCCTGAGAATGGCAAATCAGGCTTCTCATAAATGGCAGATTTCTCACTTCCTGTAGGCACTATTATTCACAGCCAACATCCTTGTGGGAAACTTTGAAAGATTTGAGAAGCCACATTTCTGCCTAAACCATGTTGTGTTCTCTCTTGCTTTTTATAATGATTTCTTTCAGTTTCTACATTTTGACCTTTAAAGAGGCTATATTCTTTAACAGTGTCTGCTGGAGTCTGTCACTTACAACCTTGTCCCATTATGACAACCATGAAAATCCCGAGAGATTAAAAAAAAAAATTGTATATAATAATCACAAGGTTCATATGGATGAATAAAGCAAAAAAAAAAAAACTGCTAAGAAAAACTATGGAAAAATATGGATGGGACTTACATTATCATATATTAGAACATTCTATAAAGTTATTATATCAAATCAACTTGGTATTAACATATGAATAAGAAATAGATGAATGGAATAGAATAGGAAATCCAAAAACTGATCTAGTAAAAATAAATTTTAAACTTATCATGAAGGTGATATGTGGTATTTCAATTCAATAGGACAAAGATGAATTCTTTAATTGGTTGGCAGAAACTAGCTAATCAACTGGAAGAAAATAAAATTGGGTCCTTAGCTCATATCATATGCTAAAATCAAATTCCAGATCTATTAAAGACAGATAAAAAAATGAAAACCCTAAGAAAACAGATATGAAAGACAGACCTTAGAAAAATTTAGAACCCTGATATGTCAATGAGATACCTAAGTAAAATCAAGATGTCTGACAGATTTTGAAAAAAGATTCCAAAGCGGATTGATTATAGATAAAGGATTAATATCCATTCTACTCCAAGAGGTTCCATAGTTGACCAAACAAAATATAAATGAAATAAAAATAACAACCTAAAAGAAAAATGATCAAAGGATATGCATGGGCAATTCAAGGAAGAGCAATCATACATGGCCAATGAACATAACAAAAGATGCTCAAACTGAACAGTGGTCAAGGAAATGCAAAGTAAAGCAATTAGGAAATATCTTTTCACAGCCATTAGACTGGAATACATTTTAAAAGATAAACAACTACTGGAAACCACTGGAGGGGAAAGGTACTCTCATGTATGGCCACAAGAGGCAGTATAATAATAAACAGGGTAGAATGGCAGGCTCTGACCACGTGAGTGATCTTAACAGCACTTCACTTCAGATTACTAATCTGTGAAATGAGGATAATAATATATCACATGACAGTCATGAGTACTAAGGGAGATAAAAATCTAGAGCCACAAAACAATGCTTGGCATAGTGCAATCAGTCAATAAAAGTTGACTATTATAATTACTGATGGTAGAAATGTAAATTGTTTCAACTTTGTAAAGCAGCTTGGCAACATCTATTAAGATTTAAAATACACATACCCTTTGAACCAGAAAACACACTCCAGGGAATTTATCTCACAGAAACAGGAAACTTCTTAGCACAGTTGCCAAAACTGGAAACGGAAGTGAATGTTCATCAATAGGA